CTTGCGATCAACACCAAAAATAAATTATTGCATCTGAATCCTCCTCATAAATTTAAGAGCTTTACATTGCGAGCACATATGTTTACCTTATTCTTTTTTTTTTTTTCATTACACAACCTTTAAAAGCAAATGGACTTTCTTTTATGTAATCAATTATTAAACAACTGGTAAATTGAAGCAATAATAATAACATATGAAACAGAGGCAACAGTAAGTTAATACTTATTTAATGAAACAATTCACCTTGACATGCATTCTCATATCACTCCCTGCTTTACAATGACTAGAAAATGTCCGGTCAGTCAAAAAGCGATATTTATGGCATTTTGCAGATTTAACAACAAAATTGGTTGCCTGTCAAGCAAAAAAAAAGGAAACCTCTGGCAGTCTTTTGGAGTTGAAAGACTGTATCCAAAAACAATAATGATTAACAAGTAAAAAATAATAACAATGCATTGCCAAAAAGGTAATTTCAGATTAAATAATTAGGAGTGATTTTTTTTAAATTTGTCTGATATTCCAATGAAAAAAGCAGACATTACTATGAGAAGTAATCCTCAATTCTTTCTTGCTTAATAGATATGTAACAGACTTTAAGTAAGACAATTACACAACATGGGATCTACAATTAAATCATTCTCACAGTTTTTAACACTGATTATACAGATTTATTCTCCTGAAATTCACCTTTTTCATCACATATGTAACAAGGGTATCTTCATGATACAACCAAAGCAATTAGTCCATATACATAGCACCTTTATAGCTTTTCACAGCAAAACTAAATGTCAGTTTTATCACCAGTAAATATCAATATATAGATGTGATAGATATTTTGCATATGTATATTCATTTTATTGGATAACTAGGGACCTTGTACTACATAAATCCTATTCCATCCAAAACCATTTAGATTTATCCACTTGCTCTTTTTTCATTTCTATTATTCATTTAACAATGAAAGGGGGGGGACACCAGCAATAATTTCCTATGAACAGAGAAATTTTTAAGTTCAAGCTTATGTACATCAAGTCTTTCAAAATATTTCATTCCTAAATAAACATGACACTGGCAACAAAAACCTTTTCGTGTCATTAGATGCATTATACTTCATTCCATATTCATTACTGCAAAGAGTAACAATAATTAAGAAAAAAAGAAACTGGACCAATAATATATACCAGTGATTTTAGTCACTCAATTTACCTTATCATCTGCTTTAGACACTTATCACTTTCTACTCACTTTTAACTTTCAAAATAAGTACTTGGGAGAGATTACTCCAGAAATCCTTACACTGTTCATATCTTAAAAAAAACAAAAAAAAAACAATATACATCACATCCTCATTGCAGGTAATCTACTTTTCCATAATATCATCTTCCTTAAGTTTGGATATCCTCTACTTTCTTCCAGCCAGAAGGAAAATCCAACCATTTTAAGCAATGGCTTAGCTCCCGTTTATGTCCTTATAGGGATCCCAAGCTGCTTCAAGTATCAAGTTAGTCTCAGCTAAATTCAAACATAGTTTGAAACAAAAATGAAATTAATCAATATTCATGAAACTCATCGCCATAATAATAACATGATTTACCAAGAAAAGAAATGTAACATCATTAAAATTTTTGACAGTACGCAAATGACATCATATAGGAAGGTACAAAAATCAGGTAGAAAGACCCAGAATAGAATTTACTGGACTAAAGAAATAATAGAAGAGAGTGAGAGAGAGACACAGAGACACACAAAGCAATATTCTAGTAGTTTAGAATGATTAAATATAAATTTTCTTTCAGTTGCTTGCAGAAACAGAGATTGGTGCATGACTATAATTCATTTTTAAAAGCTTTTACCATATAAATCGTGTGTGTGTGCAGATATATAAACACAACACACACACACACACACACACACACACACACACACACACACACCACAACACACACACCACGCACGCACGCACCACGCACACGCACGCACGCACGCACGCACGTACGCACACACACACACACACACACACACACACACACACACACACACACACACGCACGCACGCACACACCCACATGCACACCACATGCACACACGCACACACACCCCCACACACACACACATGCCCATGCACGCACGCACGCGCACACACACACACACAACACACACACACACACACACACACACACACACACACACACACACACACGCACACACACACACACACACACAGGCCCTCACACACACACACGCCCATACACGTACACACACGCCCACACACAACACACACACACACCACACGCACCCACACACACACACGCACGCCCACACAGACACATGCATGCCACACACACACACCCACACACACCCACACACATACACACACACATGCCCACACACATGTGCCATACACAAAATGTATATATATGTGGCCAAATAAAATCATTCTTATCCTTCTGCCAACCATATAGGCAAGATCAAATCCACGCTTTCCACAGAAAATTCTCCCTTGGAAGGACACGTGAAATTCCTCTCAGCAATAACAAGGATGCACGTGATACTAAGTGAGAGGAAGAGAGGGAGAGGAAGATAAGTTGGAAGAGGGAGTGGGTAAGGGTGCAAGAGAGTGAATAAGCGAGGAACTAGAGGAAAGGGAAGAGGGAAAGAGAGGAGAGCAAAATTATAAAGAAAAGATTGGAAGGAAGCAAGGAAATGGTCAAGAATGATGGCAAGTATGCTAATGTAAAGCAAGTGTATAATATGTGTTTTTATTTGCCTTTTTTTTTTTTTTTTTTGCATAGATGCATATCTGTATACAAGTCTTTGAAAGCATATGGTTATATTCTTGTCTATTTCAAGATGTATCAACATAAAACGTGTGTGTGACACTAAAAGGCATTTCTTGAAATTGCCATGTAACCAAATCTATTCAGCCAAGAATCCTAAATCCCAATTTTTCAACTATCCTTCCCAATTTGCAGGAAAGCCAAGTCCCAACAGTAGCACCAACACCACAACGAAAAAAGGGAGATAATGTATCTCACAAAAGAAGCATTTTAAAATCAAAACGGAGTTCAGCAACTACACTACATCAAGCTAGGAAGCACCAAGAGAGAGTATCCAATACACCACGGCATCAGACTTTGCCAGAACCTCAACTAACATCAGACTTAAACTTGACTGATAACCAAGGAGAAACCATTAAACCAAAAATGGACTAAACAGACACCAGCAACTGTAGCACTTACAGCCTTTTTTGACGAATGACGACGACAGGCATTCCTTGACAACTGGTGATAAAAGACATTACCATTACTGTCATTTGAGATTTCTACATCAGTACTAGAAATGCATTTGTAATTACCTTCAGATGTGCTGGTTGAAAGTAATAATCATTACTGCTCAATCACGAGGTACTGGTAGGGATGGGGGAGGCTATGTAGTAACCACAGCATGGGTCATTAATTTATTTATAAATATTTATAAGGTCACAATGAAGTTCCAGATTTGCGAGTTTTTTTTTTTATATAAAATCATATCAGAATGTGATCTTAACTTATCCATATGCTGAATGTATATTTTCCATAGAATTTAAACTAAATAAATCTAATAAACAGTATCTATACCAATATGTGGAAAGGAAAGAGAGTATTAGAATATCACAATCAGACACAATTAGCAACAAAATAATTTAATATTAGCCTTAATTCCTTTTTATAACAATTTTCCAACAGGAATCAATAAGATTCATAAATCCATATACATATCTTACCAATGTTCACTTCCAATACTATTCCAATATAAACCAGATTTAAGTGAAACCAAAAAAAAAAGAGACTATTTGCAGTTCTGACAGTTTAACCATTACCAAACTTCATAATCTCCATAACAAATAGCTTCCTGTAAAATGGTTCAAGAAAAAAAATAAGTAAATGCAATAAATGTCAATCAAATTATCAAATTCTACATTTCTTATACCAAAAAAAAGTGATAATAGTAATAATCACATCAGAAAAGACACCCCCCAACCCTAAAGGAAAAATAATGACTGATACGATAAAAAATACACAAGATTAATAAACAAACCTCCAGAAAAGATTCCCGACAACCACAAAACACAAGTTATCTGCGACTTGATACCTGTGATTGACCAATTATGCCACCAAGACCTCTCCAGCAGGTACGAAGGCAGCGTATGTTTAACAAAAAACGCAAACAAAAAAACAAAAAAAGTGCATTCAAAAAGTCAGCTCGCCATATCTCTCGCTCTCTTTCTACAGAAACTGAATTCGATTAGCACTGATCATGATGAGAAATCAGCTAGAGTGCATGATATTTTTTTTTCTTTTCTATAATACTGTTAAAAACAATATCACAACCAAAAATTACTATAGATCATTGAAAAATAGCATAACAATATTCCTAAAACAGTCAAATTCAAAAAGCCTATATTGTTCTGATCAGCAAATAAATAGTTTTAATCTCAGTTTCAGTTAGAAAACCTAAGGTTAGGCAACCACTTTAAAATTGTAAAGAAAATCAGCTTCGGAAACTGACTTATATCTGATGCGACAAAACCATCAATCTTAGCCATATGACACAAAAGGTATACTTGCTAATATCATAAGACTAATAAAGAGATTCCTTTAATTTCTTGAAAGTCAGTCATAAAAACTGAAAGAATTTATTGAAATTATAATAAAAAGAAAAAAAAAAAAACAAAAAATATTTAATGATGGTGTATCATTTCCCATTTTTGCCATTATTTGTCATCTCCATTTTCTTTTTCAGTGAAGATAATGCTGGAAAAGCTTGAGTGAAATTGTATACTGTATCAATATCAACAATCTATTTTGAAAATGCATAAAAACTGGAAAATATGAAAGACCATAAAGATTTATCGAAAATGGTGCACCAACACAAGCGTCTTTATTTACGTACTTATCAAAAGAAATCTTGAGAATAACGAAACAAAGTCACAGGGAGGGCAAAATATCATCTCTCTCTTGGCTTCATTGCAGAAAGGAAAATGATCTAAATTTGTATCGGAGGAGACTACGATCTTATAATGTCCACAATTTGCAAAACTTAACGAACACCACAATCCACACAGGCACTGATTATTAACATTGATAAATACACTAGTAATAACAGGGATAAATAAGCTAAAATTGGACAATAGCTACGAGTTACCACCGACAACTTTTTCCTTTTCCGTCTCGACATACGTGGCTTTAGCAACTTTCGTCTCAACGCTGGAGGAGCTAACGGTAGTCTTGGGTAAGTTGCTGTCTAACTCACGGGCCTGGAGTTTCTGGTCTGTCGACACACCAACAGACTCAAGGATGGATTTAAATTGTTTAAGTGTCTTGCGTAGGGTGATGCAGAACCCTTTGGAAGCTGGAATCAGTGGAAATTCTGGCAATTCAACACCAGCATCTGAGGGGGTTGGAAAATGGAAAAATAAACATAAAAACCATCCTAAAACTTGAGATATGAGAGCAAGTATATGCACACAACAGCCTAAATAAAAACGTGTAAATCATACCTGATGGATATATCTCCCTGAAAGTTGTTGGGGTTGTGGGAGATAATGGATGTGAAGCATTGTGGTTTTCTGATATTTCTAGCCAGCATTCAAGTCTCTGCACCAATCTGTAAAGAAGTCGCAAGGTCAATATCAGAACAGATTCTAAACGTACATTCATTATATGGGTTCTGGTTTATTTGTTCATTCACTCCTTTTCCTAAGATAGGGAGATATGTCTGATGGAAAATACATCTTATCCTTTAATTCTGGCCCTTCAAATATGAATTACATGATCAAAATGGAACCAGTCTAGTATTACAGACACAATGAATCAAAACTTTGAAATGATACAATATCATTATCCTGCTTTAACAATACAGTTGTGATGTCTGGAATTCATACACTTAGACAGAAAAAAAAACTCTCCAGAGAAACTCACGGTATTCTGCTTTGGAAAGGGAAACTCATATATTAGATAATACATTACAAACAAGAGACTGATAAATTTATACAGACAATAGAAAGAAAGTAGGTATAGGAGACCTGCTCCCAACCACAGCAATATGTTTGTAGACGATTATCAAAGAAAAGTTTTGGAATACAAGATTTTTTAAAAAGCAAATCATGCATTTCAGAAGTGTTTACATAATAAATTTTGTAAGGAATTCCCTCTCACAGAATTGAGATAACTTCAATTATTATAAAAATGTATATAAAAGTTTTTTCTAGACTTACTTAAAAGCCCTCTTATGGAAGTGTTGAATAATCTCCTTTTTAAAGATGTCAGGAGGTGCTTGTATAACCTTCGCCATCGCTTGTATAAGCTTTAGCACCACCATTTCGTTGTACATTCGAGAGTTCTCCCTCCCTTGCTGGGTACCTTTCTGTCGCTCGTAGCCGGCCTCATTGAAATATGGCTCACTTACCAGGATCAACCCTAATATTATATGATATATGTTAGTGGAGACATTTACATCTATTGTACTTACAACTATTCAATCTAATTAAAAAAACAACCATTTGTTACATAAGATATATCAATATATGATATCCGCAGTTCTTTTACTTTCTCCTCGTAACATGTCCCCATCTTACCTTGAATGGATATGATGACCTGCAGAAGGTTACTCTGACTAGTCCACACCTCTGTGCCTTTTCCATTCCATGTACCAAGCAGTGACACACACACCTGCAACACAATATATTGTTAGAATTGCATGAGGCAAAGAGAAAAAATATGATTCCGTTTATTCATAATCTACTCCTCATTTTGATTAATGTTAATGATTATTGTTTTTCGGTCAATCTTATATCACTAATATAAATGAAAAACATTCGGAAAGTTGGCGTACCTTGCCATCTTCATAAAGGTTCGGATTTAGTTTGTCAGAGCAGTAAGTAACATAGTGACAGAGAGGTGGTGCACGTGGGTAGTCTGCTGACAACTGGAAGTCAAAGAAGAAGAGGCCATCTTCATAGGGTGCGCTCTGGTCCTCGATCATAACGGAATATAGATCCTGTTGGAAAGAAAAAGTCATGTTACTATGATGCATGCATTACATTTTGTGATGTTCTTTTTAGGTATCCTCATGCCCACTTGTAACATCCCCTGGGACATTACCTAAGGGAGAACAGGACATGTAGTGGTCTGATTGGCTGTTCTTTTATATAAAGGGTAATACTGAGCACATAAATATTCGACTCTAGTTTACAGGGTCAGTCTCCTCGCGCTAACTACTCCTCAGGTTGTCATTTGGCGCTCTACCAGTATGACTGTCTTGAAAGGTGATACACAAAAGGGAAGTACTGAAGCCATGTGAGTACCTGGTCAGGTTCCCTGACTGGCCCATGCTCCAATTTTGAAGCCACCCAGCACCATTTATTTTCGGCTTGAAAATGTACAGCACTATGGGTTAATAAGATTTGCAAAAATGAGTGAAACTCCTTTTTTTTTTTTTTGTCCCTCAATAAAACCACATTCCATCTTGTATACTGATTGTAACACACTAAACACAACTAAAATGAGTATCATGTATCTCTGATTTGCAAAAACATTAATATCATGTTTTGGAAACAAATGATACAATAAGATATAAGTCACTTTGTTGGTACACACACGGTGAGTAAAAGAAATGGTGGAAAAGGTTGTGAAATAAGTTAGTATCAGAAAGAAAAAGTAATGATTTTTTCCTTGGAATATTAGCTCAATAATGACATAACAAGCCATGCTATGGGCATCACAGACAGTAAGCCACTTCAGAGACAAGTTGAAAACATAGGAAATATACATTTAGCCTGCTCTCTCTATAGTTTTGGCAAGAGCATGGGTAATTTCTCAATGAAAAGATGCTAAAAAGATACTCATTAATCTGAGAGACAACTGTTTAATGTACACAACTCAGAACTCAACCACATGCGGACGGATACTTGCCATCTGCCATTTGGTCCCATTTGCCATAACGTTATTAGACATAACTTTGTGAGATAAGGCTAACATGGTGACCCAAAAATTGTATATTGAAATTTTAAACTACATAAATACAAAAAATATATCGCATTATAAAAAGTGAAAATAAAGAAGTCAGCACCATGTTCCTTCAAAACGAAAGCTAAAAATGAAAACGCAAAAAAAAAAAAAAGAAAAAAGAAAAAAAAGTAGCAATTAGATGAGACATGCACTAATTAGAAATGATAACTCTCATCTTACCATACGGTCTTCATAACCTCTGACCCAGATCCCTAGAGGGAGGGAGGTCTTCAACAGTTTCATTTCCTTGCGCACTGTCCTGTAGAAGTGAGGTGGGTCGGTTGGCTGGAACATTGTCAGCTTAAACTTGTGACTGTCTGGAGCTGCTTCCAAAACTTCAAAACCTGTATGAAAAGCAGAGGAAAAACTATTTTGGCTCTCATCAACAAGAAAAGTTTCTTGCTCGAAAAAAAAAAAAAAAAAAAAAAATTAAGTTATTTTGTCTGTGATCTTCAATATTGTCCAATTTAGCTGATATGTTGCTTATAGTCTTTATTATTACTGGAGCAACAACTTTTGAAAAAAGAATTATAATGCATTAAACTTCAAACATTAAAAATTCACTTGTTCACACAAAGTTGACCACATTACGTATTTGTTAAAAGATATTCTGGCTCACAACAGTCCCAACAAGATCTAAATTTGTCTGCTTCTTCAAAGAAAGTAATAAAAGATTCTAAAATCAGACCAACCCATTACATAATAAATACAAGGAAAATTATATTACTGGTAGCAGATTTACTTCTGTGAAGCATGCAGCTACACATATTTACTAGCTAAGTAAAAATAATATGCAATATATGTAATTCACTGTCTGAATCTTCAAAAAATAAAATAAACAATAGTTTAATTCTAAAGAATATATATACATGCATACTATATATGCATTTATGTGTGAGTTGATACATGAATTGTGTATCTGGGAGAGTAAAACTTTCTCGCATACATATTATGTGTATGAATTCCATATGCAAAGCGAATCTATATGTAAGTATGTATGTAAGTATGAATGTATGTATGTATATGTATTTATGTATGTACATATGTATGTATGTATGTATAATATGTATGTATGTATGTATTTATGCAAGTATGTATGTATGTACATATGTATGTACATGTGTATGTATGTATGTATGTGATATGTATGTATGTATGTAATGTATATATATATATATATATATATATATATATATATATATATATATATTATATATAATATTATAATATGCATGTATGTGTAGGGGGGGGGGGTACACGCATGTACATGTGTGCATGTGTGTGCTGCCTGTCTGTATGCATGTATGTATGTATACCACTTTATCTACATATCCATCCACAGTATTTATCCATATGTCTGTCTGTCTGTCTGTCTGTCTGACTATCAGTCAATCAGTCAGTCTACCTGTCTGCCTCTGTCAGTCAGACATTTATTCATTCACTCATTCAAAATCAGGCTATATATCTGCATGTGTCTGTCTGTCTGTATTTGTATCTGTTTAGTTTATGATGTAATGACTTAATTCTATTTCTATATGCCTGTACAAATATATATGTATCAATGCAATTGATAAAAGTCAGAACATGGACTTAGAAATACTACTGATAAGTAAAATAATACTTTAATAGTAATAATATATAACAATAATATATAATGACAATAATATTAACAACAATAATCAAAACATTCACTGAATTGATCTGTAATATTAACAGAAATATTCAATCAGTTCAAACACAATAGGAAAAATTCACCTTGTAATAGTCCGAGACTAAAGATTCCCTTCACCGCCATTCATATCTTCAACACAGAAAGTACCAAATACTATTACCCAATCAACAATACCTGTCTCTATATAACATTTACTTTACATCCATGTTCATGATGAAAACATAGAAAAGGTAAGAATGAGAATGAATATTTTCACAATACAAGAGATGTTTAAGACTGGTTTTGAATATATCTATGTTAGAAATGCACATATCTCTCACAAAGACATATTCGAAAAAAAGTCAAATACATCTCGTCCATTGTGCAAATATTCATTCTCATTCATAACTTTTCTATATCCATGTATCATCCTTCACCAATAACTTCTCTAAAACTAAAGAACCACACATACCTACAAATACACAGATGAATTCATTGCCACAATCATCACTGCCCTTTTTACTTACCTTTCCTCATTAAGTCCCTCTTCCGCTTAAATTCTTAGTTACACTAAACTTTTTCATTCTTAGAAAATATATACACAATAAATCATCCAAACACACAACTACAGGACAGCTTTTCCAAAAAAAATCTAAAGAAATTTAATGTATGCCGTTTAGCATTCACTCCTTGATGCTGAGTCAAATCGCTAGCCCACTGTACAAGTATACACATGCATAACCAGTGTCCTATATACACAAAACACTTGCAACAGGGGTCTCACCATGCAGCTCAGTGCTGGGTTCGGAGTTTCCTACTGCCTGTCCACTGCTACCAGTGCAGCATGTGGCAAGCGGAAAAGGTAGATAAGGACACGAAACACATGACAGGGTGAACAAAATCAATGACAGTTCACTGACATTACAATACAACACACACCTGATTTTCTTTTTCTTTTCTTTTCTTTTTGTTTTCATTTCATTTTCAATATACATGTTGAAAACTTTTCATACATACATTCTTTCCAGATCATAAGACAAAAATTGTGAAGAGGAGAAAAGGAAATAAAAAAAGGGATGATATTGATATCGAGCTGACTTATCACTGGGAAGGAGATGCAGAGAAAGAAATTACAATTATCATCAACAAAATGATATGATGTGTATGTATATAATCTGAATGTTGGTGATAATTATAATAATAAAATTATAACTGTTGATCACATCAGAGACAGAGAAAAAAAGTATAAAGAGGAGGATTTGACTGGAAACAGAATGCACAATAAAAAATAAAGAGTAAATAAAGGAACATACACAATGTGTGGCATATGCATATATCTGTCCAGACATGCAAAAACACAATTCATATAAAAGCTGTGCAGAGACATACAGTTTAAGAAACACAGACAAACCCACAGTCACATATTTTCCACATATGAACACAAGGTTGAGCACATGCACATAAGAACAAACAAACAAAAACACACACACACACTCACACACACATTAATTTACACATTCCTACACATACACGTAAATTCCAAATACAACACCGCAAACTCATGCACATGTTTATGCACAGATGCACACACACACATACACACACGCAAATGCACACAAACACACAAATGCAAATGTATATATAACGCACACATACTCACATCCACAACCAACACCCACCTACATCTACATGCACACATACATACATACACCAAATTACACATTACACCAAATTAAATAATAATACTTGTACCTATATAAATAAGCAAAATGCATACATATGCACACACACACACACAAAGACACAAATAAAGGAGCTTAATCTACTTTTAAAAAACAAACAAGAGAAATATATGTTATGGTACTGTTATTTCCTTCTTTTTCATAATAACCAAATTCAAAAATATTTCTTCTCAAGAAATAACCTGTTTCTCTTCTTGTTTTTCAGGTCTTTGGAATACACAAATCTAAACTCCGGGGTGGCCAACCAGTCGATCGCAATCAACTGGTCGATCAACAAACCTGTTTTAAGTCAATCACACTACTGTACCTGTTAAATATTCATCCTTCAGAAGTTGTCATGCAAATAGCTGCAATAGCATATCCAAGTACTCATGATACTTGGATTATCATATTTCTCTTTTTTCTGGGAATAAGTTATATTTATATTTAATGATGTTATCTGTTAGTTACACTCATGGAATATGTTTGAATCTTAAGCTGGTAGATTGCATCAGGGTAACTGTAGAAAAAGTAGATCATATCTCACAAACACTGGCCACCCCTCCTATATTCCTAGTAAAATTAACATCTCTGCACAGGTCAAATCTGACAAACTCTAACTCCACATCTGTGGAAAGGAATATAAAGAATAAAGCTACACCAACCTTCAGAAGGACTCGACAAGCAATCAGATCCACTTGTAAATGCTGACCCAACTTCTCCGTTGACTGCTGCAACAGCATTTGCAATAATGGAATCAATCAAAGCCTCATTTTCTGCGTCGTCAGAGAAGGTATTTTTGTCAGTCGTCTCTCCGCTGTTACCATTGGAGGTGATCATGTCATCGGTCACCACAGGAGACGGCAGAAGAGAGGCGTTATTAGTTGCACTGACATCAAGAGCCTGTTTGTCATCAAGGCTTTCATAGTTTTCCTCCTTTTTCTCCACTGGAATCACAGTTTGATGAACAACCTGCAGAGAAAGTGTGTATTACTTTATAACTGTACATATACAGGTTCTTGAGACTTTCAGATTATGGAAAAAATCAAACCACCCAACACATATTTTCCACATAGTAATAAAAAGAAATCTGAAGTTAACATACCTGACTAAGTGCAATGGTAGTTGTATTTTCATTAACTATGTCTTCTGCGATAAACACTGGAATGTTCTCTTTGTTATCATCCTGCAGGATATCCTTGGTTTCCCCATGTGCACCCTCAGAATCCTGCATAGAAGTTTGATTAACAATAACAATCATGATCCCAAAACCATATGACAAAACAGGAAACCCAAATTCTAAAATATTTCACACACACAGACAACAAATGCTCCTCTGATGTGTTCGACTGTACCTGACAAGCTTGCATGAGACTCATGTCAAAGTGGCCTCCAAAGCGGAACACGACCTCCTCGTAGGTTTTGAGCAGCTGAGCCTTCATGAGAGAGCACAGCTGAGCGCACATGTGAGACGTGCGGATCTCTTCTGTTACCCCGCTGATGACTTCTGATGAGGACACCTTCAAAGAGTAGAATTGTCTTCTTATTCTTCTGCCAACTGAGATGATTTATAAAAACATCTATAACAGAACTCGCTACATTCTTAGAAAAGGGGATAGGAGTGTGACAAGGCTAGATATTAGTAAAAAAAAAAAAAGAGAGAGAGAAGGGGAAGGGGAGGGAAAAGAGGAAAGTGAGGAGATAGTGGAGAGGGAGGGGATGGGGTGGGGAGAGAAGAGAGGAGGGAGAAGGGGAAGGAGAGAAGGGGAGAATGGGAGGAGAGAGAGAAGAAGGAGAAGGAGAAAGAGAAAGAGAAAGAGAGGGAGAAGGAGGAAGAAGAGGAGGAGGAGGAGAAGGCAGAGGAAGGAGGAGGAGGAGGAGGAGGAGGAGAGGAGGAGGAGGAGGAGAGGAGGAGGAGAGGAGGAGGAAGAAGAAGAGGAGAGGAAGAAGAGGAGGAGGAAAAGGGAGAAGAGGAGGAAGAAAAGAATGAGGAGGAGGAGGAGGAGGAGGAGGAGGAGGAGGAGGAGGAGGAGGAGGAGGAGGAGGAGGAAGAGGAGAAAGAGGAGGGCAAAGAGGAGGAGGAGGAGGGGGGAAAGAAGAGGAAGAAGAAGAGGAAGGAGGAAGAGGGAGGAACAGGAATGTAATAAGGTGAAAGAGAGGAAAAGAAGGAAAGAGGAAAAGAGAAGGAAATATACAGAGAAAGAGAAGAAAAGTCATCCATTATACCTACCTTCAGATCATTACAACTTTTGGAATCTTTCATACGCGCATCCGAAGAGACTTTCTCGTGAAGAGTCATATCAGTTTCGCTCATTCTCTTATGTCGTAACTCTCCTCCCCTATTTCGTCCCCCATCTAGAACCTTCTCAGATTTACTGGTTCTTCTTTAAAAAGAGACACACCGAAATATATCAATAAGATATTAAAACAAATCATCAAGTTTCTTGACTCAAAAACAAACATATCTCCGTTATATATTGTATCAATCAATGTAAACTAATTCAGCGCTAACCCCTGAGAGAAGCTGAGATTAGCCAAATTCTCCGACAATGTGGCCGAGCTGCTGAGGATGGCATCTTTGGAGGAAAGGATGTCGCTGTCAGCGTTGCACGATCCCCCACTCTCCTTGTTGTGTTTCATATCCTTATTGCACAGATTATCCTTATTTGGCTTGGACATGTCTTCTTTAGCACTGTCAAAATTCCCTGTGACAGCTTTGCTCCCCTCTCCACAATTCATGATTGGAGTGAGGGACCTTCTGAGTCTGAGGCCGAGAAGAGACGGTTTATTTGCTCTGTCATGCGCTGAGTTGTTGATGCTCTGCCACGCTCACGAACCTTTTCTATGAGTCCCTGGAAATTGCTTTCATGGAAGAAGCTCGTGCCCATCAGCTTATCCATATACCTGGAAAAATTACAAGTGTAAAAAAAACATATATATATATTTTTGCCAAAGCTTTCATAATCTATAATAAAGTATCATGGCGCGACTGAGTTGATTTTGCGATGAGCATAAACAAAAATGAACTTCCTATGTATATATTTTCTTTCCCTTGACAACAAAAATCTCAAGAGCAAAAACTCTTACCTGCATTCTTTGTAACAATCTAAAAGTTGTTTCATTACTGCTGTGGTCTGAAGAGCAGGATTCTGCGTAAAAATTTCTTCTAGACGACTCATAGCTATACGAGCTTTTTCAATGTTTGCTACAAGTCTTGTTTTAAGTACTCCCTCACTTTCACTTTCACTCTCCCTGTAATAAAGTATCAATTAGAATTTACACTTCATTAAAACAGTTTTACCCAAGAGACAATGCATAAAGTCTTGCAAATACTATATATACAAAATATCTTTCAACAGAAGTCCAAAGTCACTCACTCTGCAATCACAGAATGTTCACTTTCTGTCTCCCACGACTCATCTGAGGCTGTATCATCCCAAAGTTCTCCATCATCTGAGTCGTACTCACCCACTTTGTACAGATCTTGAGGGTAACATACTGATGTCCTCCCATCTACCCACCAAACACTCACCTGTAGGCAAGGATTATTTCTACTGAAAGAACAGACACAAAACTACTGAAATACTTGCTATCAACTATAATGATAAATCTAACAAATTATTTACCTTCACATACAAGCTGTGTCATTTTTCAACACAATTATCCAGAAACACACAGGTAGATAAACCGTATCAATACAATTCTCTATGAACATTTATGATAACCTAATGCTGTATGTTTCTAAAATATTTCCTAGGTCTTAACTCATTTTTTTTCCTGCAGAGTGCATGGGAAACACTTTCCACAGTGCTATATCTGAATTACCAAAAGTGCCATATGTGATTTACCAAAAACTCTCTAAACTTTTAACCAGGTCATTTTCTTTTACTCACTTCTCCGGATGGAAAGTTATCTAAAACTTGCCCTGTAGAACAGGTCTGACACTCTTCAAAATTGGCCACTCTTATAACTACAGAGCCTGGACGGTAGCGGAAATCCGGATGGTCACGCAAATCATACACACTCACTTCCTGTTCACGTAACATTTCTGGCCTGAAAATGAGAAAAGAGCTATTGTAAGGGCAAAAGCTACTCTCTATTTCCATTGTCACTGCCAGAAGTGCATGCACATATGCAGTGCCTGCTGTCATTTTTTTATGAACTTTTTTATATACAGATGTAGTAGAACTGTTTAGTCACCAAGGAGTCAAATGTTAGGCCTACTACTACACCTAATCTACTTATATCATTTCTTGAATTTTTGGAAATAGAAATTCTAACCTTTATTAGTATCATCATTGATAACAACATTATACAAATAGAAATAATAACAATATCAAAACCATTTTGATAATAATAGTAAATGATTATTTTTTCTATTCAAGGAAAGGAGTAAGTAGGTGAAATCTTGTTACCAGTCGTGAATTCAAACATCTTATTTTTGTAAAAATTTCAAGACATCTGTTGTCCTTTAATGACTTGATGGACTTTTAAAACATACGCTGTTTATATATTGGTACCTGGTACCAATATCTGAACTCTATTAATTACAATAACAGTACCAATTCAAAGTTTTGTAAATAATGAGATATTGCAGTACATCGTTATAATTCCGAGAGTCCCTCCCATGTATTACTTACTGTGGTTCGTTTCCAGCTGTGTAGGTTCTAAACCACTTTACAATGGATGTCCTCCCAGCATGATCAACCCTTTGCACAACGCCATATTCATGTGGATCGACTGAGTCCTGCTCCACCACAAAGTCACCCGGAAAGAATTCCTGGTCGTCCAAATGATGAATTGGATAAAGGACTGTTGACAAAATACGCTTCTCCAGTGATCCATCCTGTAGAGAGATGAAATCAAAATAAAGAGGTTTATTCATATATACTTGAAGGCTACTAAAACTTGGTTTGCCTTTTTTTAATTCATCAGATCTATAGCACAAACTCCCTTACTTGCAAGGCTATGCCAGTGCCTTTTTTTGACAACTTGAATTTCAATTAAGAATATCAATTATGAAAAGGCAAAATCAATTTTTAAAAAAAACTATCTTAAACAGCAACGAGCTGACAAACAAAACTAACCTGCCACACAACATCTGCTTTAGATGTTGTCATGAGAGTTTCTACAACCAACTGATCTCCAGTCTTAATTGCTGGTCCCTCATTGGTGGTCTTCCTTTTTGCCCTCTTCAACTTGCGCTTTTTCATCATTTTTGTCATCAATGCCGGTCCCTTTTTGTTTCGCCTCCCTGTGAACAATTGGGCATAAAAATTAAATGGTTAACAAAACACGGAAATTATCAGCTAATAATAAGAGGGGTTCAAAATCATTCTAAAAAATCACAGTAATGGTATTGCAAATATATTTCTAAAATCACAATAATGATGTTGAAATAACAAATATAGACCTCACAAAATTTAATAGACAAATAACATCAGCTGACACTCACCTACAGATCCTGTTGATGCCCCACTACTAATTGAAGCTGTGTCAGAGAATTCATCTGTATCTACATCAATATATCCATCACTATCAGCATTATAGTCTTTGGTATCATCATCCGCAGGTAGCCCTCCTTCAGCACCTAGAGCACCTTCCACAGGCGAGCCGTCAGTGTCTAGAAGTGCACGAAAAGATCAACATTTACCTTCACACATAAGTATATGGCTTTATAAAATCTTACTTAAAATCATCAGATTGTGTAAGAAAAAGAAAAAAGTGGAGACTTACCTTTAATACCGCCTACTGATGTAGGAGCACCAGGGGCATCTGTGAAAAAAAAGCACAACACTAAACACAAAATTCTCTCACTTGAAAAACTAAATTTTATCTTATGACATACATGACAGGGTACATATCTCAAACCAAGTCAGTTCCCTACCACAATATCTATAGAATGAATGAAAGACTTCATGGTTTTTAACACCCCTAAACTCCTATTCACCATGATCAAGCTTGACTGCAGAATGTGCTCACAGTCCTATTTGCCATAATCATGAAAGGCCTGTCGAAAGCTGGTAGGATTTCTTTTTTTAAGAACACGACATATAGAATGACCACTAATATATTCTTTAAGGCAAAATTCTTCAACCACACCCATAATATCACCCCATACCTTTATTCCTCTTGTAGCTCTATTCTGCCTAAGTAATCACACAGTCAAGTTTTCCCACCTTTTCATCTTATGAATGAAACTTAGTGAGCATGAACTCATAATTCTGGTACTGTACAACATATTTCATCCACTGAAACCCTAAGTCTCTAACTTTTCCAAAACTTATCCTCCACACACAATAATACCACATATTATGCATATATCTCTTGGCATACTATCATCATTTATTATTCATAAGACAAGAAATTTATAAAAATGCATCCAAATATACATTTGACTGTTTCAGATGATAAATAAATTGTGTGTGTTTTATCTATACATTCATGGTAACCTCTCTCTGTTTTCATTCATACAAGAGGGGTAACTGTCTTAACTATTTCAGCTGTGTGTTCTTCTGACACTCTGTATATCTGAGATAGGAGAATTAAACCTACAATTTCTAGGGTATGAAATCAAGCTCTCCAAATGGCTGCAACCAAATTTTGTTTTAGTGAACCTAGAAAAATCAAGACTTTTTTGCAGCTGGGGGAACAGACAAGCCGGAGGGTTTACAGCTATGGGGAGTTAAACAGGCCTTACATTAGTAAGAAGCAACCTTAGATCAAGCTATATTGCAATATAATTCTGCTAGGCACCTGATTCCGTGCCAGGTAAGAGAAGATAGATAGAAAATGATAAAATACTTGAATTTCTAGCATATCACCAATTTACTCTACTTTCTATTAAATCTCAAAACCTTTTACAATCATTCAAGCACTTTACTCACACCACAGAAATATATAAACTAATTTCAAAGTTATAAAATGCATACTATGTAAATATACAAAATCATAAAGACTATCTGAAAACTACTGCACACATTATCATAACTCCTGTATATTAATACTTTGCGCTAGGATGGCTTGATGTACATGCCATGTCCACTGTGATTTCAATATTCAGCAAGTTTACTCATAGATGAACTTAGTCACCAAGGAGCCAATGACTAGCCTTACCCATCTCACCTGTTCCCCTTTTCCATGATTTTTGGGAAGATATGTTTGTATCTTTCATTGCTATTACATTAAAATAATCATAATGCCAATAATAATAATAATAATAATAACAGCATGATATCAATAATCATGTATTCTTTTATATCACGTTATAGGGAAATCACGTGAGGTCACATCCGCCCTACTAACGGAACCCTGGTGACTAAGCACTTGTGGAGCCATCTGTGTGCAATATAATTCACCAAAAACTACCAAAGAGAAAACATGTACCAGTATACAGAGAGCTTAAGCAGCTATACACAAGTAAAGACTACATGTTCTGGAAGTCCACAGAAGTATTAATCTTTACTGCATTTTTTCAAAACAAGAGATTGAATACTCAGCTGTAAAACATACTAAACTACACTCAACTTTCACTCACACTGCCAGTGGCTTTCTACTCAATAGATGTAAAAAGGGTATGAGCATTCCTTGTTGTCCTTTTGGTGACATCTATAACAAGGCATTATATGTCAATCCCTTTAAAGTCTTTACAGAATAAATAACAATCTAAGTAGTGCCTGTAATCGGTCACTGTCACACTGTCAAATGAAGCTAAAAAAAAAAAAGAAAAAAGATAAAAATCAAACATCAAAAGAAACCAAAAAGAGTGGTGCAAATCCTGTCCATACCTGCATTCTGCTCAACTTCTCCTGTTAAACCTGAGCGGTGTTTCCTTTCTGTAAAACAATTAACTTAATAAATCAAATAAAATACAAAATCAAAATGTGGAGCAAAAGAGAGCAAAAAAAGGTGACAGCATTTCAGCAAATACTGCAATATCACAAATTATAACTGGCAAGCATAAGTGAGTGTAAAATAAGAATCATAAAAATATTCAGTTTGTCTGCGTGACAGAAAGTTGCCAAAAAAAGAAGGCTTACTGTGTACAACACAAGATAAAAAAGAATTAATATGGAACAAGCAAGTGAGTTCACA